CACGCCCTGCAGCACGGCCCGCGGCAAGAACTTCAGCACCGGTGCCAGGAAGAGCGCGAGTCCAATTAGCACATGGATAAGGAAGTTCGTGGCGCGCTGCTCCACCACCTTGGTAGGCACCTTGCGCTCACCTTCCGGAAGCTGCTGCACCTCGTAGGTGGTCAACGAGATCACATGGGTGATGCTCGGCACCGTGGAGGCCACGGACAGGGGCAGGCCCAGCACAGCGCAAACAGGAAGTGTGAGTGCACCACGCACAAACAAGTCCTAGCGCTGCAAGTTGCTGGCTCCCAACGTGTTTTATACAGAACCATAAATACATTCCAAAACCATCCCCTATTGCCACCGAGGGTCAAGGTGGTACGCAGGGGGCTTTTTCAGGTTGTTGGATGGCCGGTTCACAATCACACTGGTGAGGTTCTGATCCAAGTATCCCAACACTGCAAAGCCAATGGCTGGCAGCACCGCATAAGCAATGCCCCAAGCCGGGAACGGGCGGTCGATGCCTGCGGGATTTACGATCCAGGGCCGCTTGCTGCCATCAGACAAGCTCAAGTTCGGGGCGAAGTCAGCATCCACCTGCAACATCCTCAGGCCCGTGTTGTTCGAGTAAATGGCGGCCATGCTGAACCCGAAACCAAGGCGATGGTGACCGCGAAGTTGGCCCCAAAGTTGCGGATGGCTCGGAATGTCCAAGGTGTGCGCCGGAAGCTGGACAAGTATGTGGCCCATCCAAAAGTCCAAATGAACAACAAGCCTAGGTTCTCCAGCAGCCCCTTGATGATAAGGGAACGCTTTTTCCTACTATGAGGTCTTGATAAGATAAGGGAACCCAGAAAGAAAAAGGGCAAAAGGGTACGACTAAGGAACCTAGAAGCTTTCGAACATGCAGTTCGTGAGCGTGAGCCTGCTCTCCGTGAAATTTTCGATGATTGGCCTCACTCCGTCGATGATGAAGATCAACGATATCAATCCCGCGAAGATGTCCTGACTGCTCTACAGTGTCGGGTTTAAGGGTTTAGGGACGCTTAGGGCTTAGGGTTTTAGGGTTTGTGCAGGTGTCCTCACTGAACATGGTCACGTGCTTCATGAGTGCACACAGGTCGAACACCGCCACGAGGATCGTGAACACCGAGCACCACATGCAGGTCCAGAAGTAAAATGGCATGAATTCGATGTCGACTGCAATGGCGAGGTCGTAGACGACCAAGGTGTAGGCCAAGAAGGGACCCGTAGCTCCAAGGATCGACAAAGGTTGGCCCGCAAATGTTGAGAAGATCAAGCCCGAAATCGAAGTACTCATGATCATCTCCAACACTCCGAATTGGCCGTTCGTGCCATCTAGGAACCGGCTGCCGAAGGTAATCGCAGGGGCGAGGGCTGCTATGAACCTTACTTCCCCGTTACCCAAAGGAAGAAAACGTTCGAAAGGATACCTTTTCAGAACAAGTGTAAAGTATAAGAACCAGGCTGTGTAGTGAAGATCTAAGGAACAGGTACAAGATTGAAGACACCGATTTTTGGAAGTTCTCTGGCAAGAAGGCATCCGTCCAATCACTGCAAAATAGCGGCGCCCTCCTGCGAATGTCGAGCCGTAATCCCCCGGCTATGCGCCCAGTGAAATCCAAGGGCCCATAATCCTTCTTGGCGCTGTGGGAGATGTATCCGGACTCGTAGCGGTACACTGCCTCGGCCTCTGTCATTGCTGCGGCTCGGTGAAAGCGAGTGGCGGTGAGAGAAAGGGCTGAGCTGTGGGCCAGAATAGCTACCAAGAGTTCCGAAGGCTAATTCTGTCATGCCGCGAATGTGTGCTCTTCAAAGGAGGCAAGGTGCCCTCCACGCCAGGATCAACGGAAACTAAGCTGTTCGGCTGACAAAACTGTAATGAGAGCGAACCCTAGACCCCAAAACCCTCATCCTAATTCTTTGCCTTTGATCTGGTCCTCCAGGAATCGGCGGTCCTGACGGCATTGGGCAGCTGTCGGGACTTGAGGGACTCTAGGGGGTAGTGTTTTCGGTTGTTTGGTGTTCTTTTTTTTTGGGGGGGGGGATTTAGGGTTTAGGCTGGGCCTTGTGGTTTTGGGCTGTGGGAGCTAAGGGGCTCGGTGCTTTGAGGTTTTGGGCTTCAGGTTTGAGGCTTTTGGCTTTGGATTTATGGTTCAGGGTTTGGGGTTTAGGGTTTAGGGTTTGGGGTTTAGGGGTTTAGGATTTTGGTGTTTGCGATTGCCGGATTCTTGCTCATGATTTTAATTGAAGATACCATGCTGCTGACGCTTAGCTCAAAACATGGCGCCTTGACGAAATGAAACTGTATAAGCTCCCCTTCAGATTGCGTCTTCGTACCGCAAGGACTCTATCTCTCTAAACCCTAGACCCTACATCTTAAAGCGCAGAAGGTGGGGCATCCTTCAGGAGCCTTGCTTTGAAGAAGTTTCTTGCGCAAAATGTGCCCTAAACCCTAAACCCTAAACCATTAACTACTCAGATCCCTAGCATAAGTGACCCAGAGTTTTAATCCCAACTCCTCGGAAACCCCACAAGCGAACGCCTCCTGCAAGATACAGCTTCCGACACAAGAATCAGCCCGCAGAAACCCGACCAGGCCTCATCCAGCGCTTCTGCTTTGGCCTTCCATTTGTCCACCTGACAACACTGTATGGGTTCAGGGTTTAGGGTTTAGGGTTCAGAGTTTAGGGTTTAGGGTTTAGAGTTTAGGGTTTAGGGTTTAGAGTTCAAGGTTTAGGGTTCAGGATTTAGGGTCTAGTTCCGTGCACGCACACACCAAGTGAAGGCTGAAAACATGCTCCTTTGAGTAGGAGCGGCGCTTCCGGCCCCTACACCGTGAAGCAAGCTTCAATTCAAGCCTGTGTAAACCACACTCTGAAGTCTCAATGTTAAACCCTAAACCCTAAACTCTAAACTGTAAACCCTCGCCCAGTGGGCTTGGAGCTTGCGGGGAAGCCATCTCAAAGCCTCAACCCGAAACTATGGTTTAGGACTTTACGAGGCTTAGGGTTCTGTGGCTGGAGCAATAGGGGCACTACGTAATGTAGGGGCCTGAATAATTAAAATAGGGTTTTGGGGTATATTATACTATAGTAATAATAAGGGACTCCCAAAAATACTGTAGGTAATTATAAAGGCCCCTATATTAGGGTTCTTGTTGGCTTGCCGGGATTGTAGGGTTTCGGGCTTATATGGTATAAGGTTGAAGTTGGAAGCACCGCAAGATAGAAGGCCCAAGAACCTCTAGCTCCTAACCCAAGAAGAGCATGCCAAGAATCCACAACTAACCCGAGAAACCCAAAACCTAAACTGCAAGCCTAAGATACAACCAATTACCTCCTTCAGCATAAGACCAACCAAGCAGAGACAACCTACACCGCCCTATCCCTTAAGCCTTAACCGCATAAGCCTAAGCCCGTAAAACCTAAACCCTAAAAAAACCCTAAACGCCTAAAGCCCTAGAAAAGTTAGACCCCAACTAAACCCCCAAAACCCCTATAAACCCTACACTGCCTAAGGACCTGAACCACTGAAGCCCAGAAAGCCGCAATCCCGGCTGAGAGGGGCCTCCTTCTTGTAGCCTTTGCAGAGGTCATCCAGCCGGAGGGCCTTCCAATGAAGTATGTTACTACTGTTTCTAGAGGAAGGGTTTAGGGTTCAGGGTTCCCTTATTACTACTTCTAGTAGCATTGCTGCTAGCTCACACAACTTCGGCCATCATTATAATTACTGGTGCTATTGCAACTGTCTGCCAGTTTGTCTTTGTTGTTGTGCTTACTATTCCTGGTCATGCTACCACCACTATTTCAACAACAACAGCAATAACAAACAACAAATAATACTGCTACTACTACTACTACTACTACTACTACTTGTACTACCACTACTCCTACTACTACTACTACTACTACTTCTACTTCTACTTCTACTTCTACTTCTACGACAACGACGGCTACGACGACGACTAGTACTGGTACGTCTGCTGCTTGCTGCTGGTATGCTGAAGGTGTTTCTGCTACCACGACTAGAACAACTACTACGACGATGTCGGCAACAACGACCAACAACAACAACAACAACAACAACAACAAACAACGGCAACAACAACAACAACCAACAACAACAACAACAACAACAACAACAACTACTACTACTACTACCACCACCACCACTACTACTACTACTACTACTGCTAAAACTACTTCTGCTACTACTACTACTGCTACTAATATTACTACTGACACTGCATGGTATGCATGCACCCATGTACACATTCATAGGTACATACAGAAGCTCGTACATATGGGCCTATCTATCCCACCCACCCAGGACCCAACGACCGACCTACTGAGTTATCCACGAATGCATCTATATGTACATATACACACATATACATATACGTTTATCTACTCAGATGTGTGTATATATGTATGTATGCATGCATATGTGCATGTACATGTATATGTATATGTATATGCATCTGAATATGCATGTGTGTATGTATATGTATATGTACATGTATATGCATATGTATATGTATATGCATATGTGCATGTATGTGTGTATGTGTATGTGTCTGCATGTATGCATGCATAGATGTATGTGCGTGTGTGTATATATATATATAAACAGATACACACGCACATTTTCAAGTGTACACAAAACTGGTATGTACGTACATGCAGATATATGCTTAAGGGCTTGGCTTTAGGACCAGGTTAAGGGTGTCTCTGTGTACATGTACACACTGGCATCCTTGCATCCATCCATCCATCCATCCATCCATCCATCCATCCATCCATCCATCCAACCACCCAGTCATACACACATGCATACATACATATACATGTGTATGTGTGTATATATATATACGTATCTATGCAGTATATATGCATATACTTCTGTGCATTGGTATGTACATATGTGCGTGTCCGTATGCGCGCATGTATGCATGCATGCATGTATGCTTATACAGGTATGGTTATGACTATCAATGCTGATTCATAAATACATACATAATTGCATACGCACACATACATACATGTATTTGCTCATACATACATACAAACATACAGAAAGACATCCACACATCTATACATCCATACAACCATCCATGCATTCATGCATGCATACATGCATACATGCATACATTGCACGCACCTATTTGCAAAATTATATAAATACAAAAATACATACATACCTACGTACGTAGTGTGTATATATATATATTGAAACCTTTATGTTTTAACTGCCCATATGCATTGAACAACTGAGTAGGCTTAGGGTCCCCGGGTGGATGTCTTATGCGTTTCAGGAGATAGGGAGAGAGAGATGTATATATATATATATATATATATGCTCTGAGGTCTAGCCTAGAATCGTGCTTCTCTCAAGGCACTCCAGAGAAGGCATATCGTACTCTTCCTGACTACAGTCAGCATAGACAAGGTTGCCCTGCACTTGTCCCCGGTTTCCGCTCTGACAACGACTCGCCCTGCCCTCATCATCGCTCCATGAACCCGGCCCAAGAAGCGCAGGTCCCCTGCTGTGCGGGGGGCTTTGCGTGCAGCTGCCAGGGGCGCTGCCGGGCTTTGCAGTAGGCTTTATTTAGGGTATATTGAGGGTTTATTTAGGGTTTATTTAGGGTTTATTTAGGGTTTAGGGTTTAGGCTTTATTTAGGGTTTATGGTTTAGGGCTTTCAGTTTGGAGTTGAGACCCCAGGGTGACAAGCCTACTTACAGCCGAGTTTCATGGGCATAGTGTAGCAGAATCCTCACTGCGATATCTACAAGGACTGAGACAGTTTGTTATTTTAAAAGAGCAAGACATGCCGACCTGCAAACCCGACAGATCCCTCGGCATGGGAAGCATGCGGAAAGACCTAGGCTACGGGAACTGGCGGCTCCCTCTCACACCGCGGATGCCGACGACCTTTGCCATGCCGTGAAGCTGTACTTGGGGTTGGAGGTTTTAGGTATTGGGTTTAGGGGTTTAGGGCTTGGGGGTGCAGGGCTTTGAGTTTAGGGTTTTGGGGGTTCAATTAGGGGTGTAGGGTTTAGGGCTTAGGGTTTTTGGGCTTCGCTGCAGAGAAAGACCGTTGATGCAGTTCTTGCGTGTCTGCTGCCGCAGACGAGTACTTGGAGCATCATGCCACGCATCTGAGATCAACCTCGATGAAGTTTTGCGATCTGCTATACTGTAACTGTGGGGGGAGTATAAGGGAATACTATTCTCCCGACCCAATGGAAACATCAGACGGTTTGAGCTCACTGCCCGAGCCAGCGGTGCGACATGTCCTTGCTTCCATTGCTGGGAAAATCTCTCAACAGTTCATGGGTAGTGTCGAGTTTGGTGATACGTACCTGAATCAGGGCCATGAGTAGTTCTAGGTGTGGCTATCCGAACTACAACCCTACTTATCAAGTCCCCGATCCCTTCAGTAAACCTTCCAGCTCTATTCGACGACTCTAAAGCCAGATGAACCGCTATAAGACCCTACTCAGAAAGTCCCCTGATCCTTTTAAAATTGGCTTTGGATGATTACGAGGTGGCGATCCGGCGCTGGTACTAGGCTTTCGCAAAGAAAGCTTGACCGCAACTGGAATCGAATGACCCAAACAACAAGCTCAAGAGTCCCAGGAAAAGCTGCCCCCAATGCCAACAAGAGCCCGAAACCCTCCATTAAACCACAAACCC